GCAGTGTTCTTGTCAACGGGCAGTGGCCCATGCTGCGCGAAGCCGCTGCCGGCGGCGCGTCCTCAGCTGCCCGTTTGAAGTGTCAGGCGCCGCGACGCTCTCTCTGGCACCGCCGCGCGTTGTGCAGGTCTTCGTGGCCCGATCTAGTCGTGCCGCCAGCAGTTGCCAACCGTGCGCCGCGGGAAAACGCGCCCCCCCGTCGTCGCGCCCGTGGAAAGGTGCCTTTGGACTCTCCCCCTCCGTTCCTTCTAACCTTCCCAGTGCGAGCGCGTCGCGCGTGCGAGAGGTTCGAGGTTTGTTGAGGGTCCGTGTGTGTATGCGTTGACGGCGCGGCTTTCGATTCTCAGTTTTCTGAACTGTGCGTGCGCGGGCAGGCGCTCGTCTCCATCAGTGGCGGCCCTGGCTTCCCGCAGCAGCGAGTCAATGCCCAGGTGGCTGGGCTCCTGCGCGGGCCGTTCCGATGTCGACGGGGCCGAGCTTCTCGGAGTCATGTGTGTATTGTCTTGTCTCTGCCCCCGCCCCGTTCATTTCGGATTCTGATTCCGTGGTTCGCGGGGTCCTGAAGAAGGGCGAGTCCGCCGCGACCCGTCCCAGGTCCGCGTGGGCCCATATTTGGAGGCGATGCCTGGGTCAGTTTGGACTCCGCATCTCGAAGGTCAAGCCTCGCGCCACCGTGGCAGGCCCAGGCTGGCTGTGTGCGCGACATCGATAGTGCGGGCAACGCTTTGGCCGACTTTGCGGCCAAAGAGGCCGCGCGGCCCCACCGCGCCCCGCCCGATCTGCTCCCTCGCTTCCAGCAGTCTGATTTGCTGGTGGTCAGCGTCGGTATGTGGATTGCTATGGCGGGCGCCGCCGCCGCCGCCGAGCACGACACTTCCCACGGGGGCAGCGTTCTTTCGAGGGCCACCGATGCCTCGCGGTCCCTCGTGTCTGCTGGCCAACGTCCCCACGGGCTCCTGGAGGTCCTTCTCTCCTCTGGTGCGCCTGCCCCCTCCCGCCCCGTCGTGGTGAGTGAAGCCTGTGAGTACAGTGCCAACAATCGCGTCCTGGCCCCGCTCCTGGCTCCTTGCAAAGGCAAGCCCAGTGAACGCGGAGGGTGGACCCTGAAGCAGCTGGCCCAGGGCTGCATGCGTGGTGCCCGTAAGGCTGCCACCTGCTCGACCAGGCGCGTTGAGCGGGTGTAGTTTGTTTGTTTGTTTGTTGTTGTTTCGTTCGGCGTTCATGGGCGAACCTGTTCTTCTGCAGGGTCTCGAGGAGGAGGCGGAGGAGGAGGAGGAGGAGCAGGGTGAAAAGGAGGAGGAGGAGGAGGTGGAGGAGGACGAGAAACGCGCGTTTTTTCCACTATTGTTATACATATATGTATATATATATACATATACATACGGAGGTCCCGACACCACAGGATGGTAGGGAACACCATCGCGGTTCGGTAATACCTTGCCCGAGGTCGTCGCACACCGAAACAAGCGCACCCATTCCCCACTCCACCCCGTGAGCAGTGGTTTATCAGGCTGGTCAACGGCCAGGACGGCCTGCGCACCGATCCTGGGCCCATGGCGAGCGTGGCCAGGTTGCCATGCTGAGCGTCATGCGCGGTCGGTGCCCTCTTGTTTCCCCCCCCCGCACTGGAGCTCAGCGGCGCCAGGCGGCTGCTCCCTCCGCCTGAGCAGGTGACGCCGCCGCGTGCGGCGCTCGCCACGTGGCGAGGGCGGCGCTGAAATGCCTGGGCTTTCTCACTGGAGCGATTTTTTCCTCGCTCGCGGTAGAGCAAGGCCTTTAGCGGGCCCTGGCGACGACAGGGCCGTTTGTTTCCGGTTCCGCTTTGGATTTTTGTCGGCCGGTTCTGTCGCCGTCCTTCTCTTGGTTTCGCCGTCGTGCTTCTTTTGGTTCCGGCTTTGGTTCCATTCCTGGATCAGTTCTGTTTCCCGTTTCTCGGGCCAGTTTTTTCGTACTCCAGCGCTTTTTCCGACGGCCAACAAAGAAAAACTGCCTTGCCGTTCCCAGGGCCCGCTCCCAGAGGTCTTATGATGCGGCATGGTGCGCCCGCGGCGACGCTTCGCACGCTCCCACGCTGGAGTCATCTGTGAGTGATTCTGACGTTCTTTCTCGCAGTATCGTTTAAGCTTATCCCCATTCCCACCATGGCCACGGCACCTCAGCCCCACCATCTCACTCCCCCAGCTGGAGCAAGGCCACCTGAATTCCCAAGAAACAGGCAAGCTACTATCCCCAGCTGGGGGGTTAAATCGGCCAGTGGGTCGAAGGTCAGGCCGGTGAGGATAGGAATCACCCAAGCGATATTCATTCTCTTGAGTCGTTGGTCACCTTTGCGTCACATCTTTCACAATGCATTGGTCAGCCTTTACCGCGCTCTTTCTCTACCATTTGATGGCTGCTGCGTTCTCTTTCTTTCATGATCCGCGATCGCCGCGGTGGGACAAAGAAGAGCCATTATTTTTTTGAGCGTCGTCCAGGGTGCAACCAGTTGTTGCCTCAGGTCCCGCCTACACTGCAGAGTCTGACAGAAGGACCACTGACAGACGGACCTCTTTGGGCTCAGGAGAGGCTCTGGTTTTTGGGCCGTTCCTTACACCTAGGCGGGGGAATATGTTGTGGCCTAAGCTCACCTTGGGCAGAACATCTCGTTCGTTCCTTATTGAGCACTCCTGATGAGAGCACGATGGCTGTATGTAATCTGGGTGTGAGTCTATTGTGACGGGAAGCTTGCCCCCGAAGGTCCCTGTCTGTCTCATATCTTTGGGGCAGGCTCCGGTCATGTCCAGTTCCCCGGCCTATCCAGCACCCAGCCGCCTTACCCTTCTGACTGTTGTTCGCCGCGTCTGCAGCCTCAGGAGAACGCCTGCTGCGGCGGTGGCACCACAGAGAGCTCCCGAGAAGGCGCAGCTGATGGAAGGGGTCCCATCACGAACGAACAACACGCACCCATACCCATACGGGGTGACGGAATGGGCTATGGGTGCGTGTTGTCGGATGGGGGGGCCAGGTCGAGCGGGCGCCTCCGACAGCCCGCACCCATACCCAGAGCCAGTCGTCCTCCCGCCGCCCCCCCATGGGTATGGGTGTGTTTTCGTCATCCCAGGGAGGATCCGACCCCAGACCTCCGATGCCTTGGTCTTGCCACTGCGGGCCCCCCTGAGCTCTCGACCACCTCCCGGGGACCGGTCGTTCGCCCTGGCTCGTCTCTTGGCGGTCCTGCTGCACGGCGAGGGCCCCCAGGACGCCGCAGATAACGAACCAGGGCGCGCCTGTCGGTGGGACGGGAACGGTTGGGCTGCAGCCAACCAGCTGGAAGCCACCAAGGACAGAGCCATCTTAGACATGTTGTCCCGTCGCGTGCTGTCACATTTGGAGGCCCAGACGCGAGGACAGGCTCTTGTGAGTGGTTGCGCGCATGCTTGCTGTTGACCCGCCTTGTCATCATCATCATCATCATCATCATCATCATCATCATCATCAGCAGCAGCAGCAGCAGCAGCATCATCATCATCAGCATCATCATCCATGCGTTCGAGGTCTGGGACATCCTCGACGACAGTCAGCCCGCACAGGAGGGAAGAGCGACTTTCCAAGGCTACCCTTGCACCCTTTCCCTGCGGCCCATCCCTGGCCGCTTCCGCTGGCCGCGCCCCGCTCGCAAGGTGTGGACCTGGCCTCCCAAGGCTCCTGCACCCTTTTTGCATCCTTACTGTGCGTCCTTCTTGTACTTGCCCTGTGCATCCTTGCTGTGCCTCCTTACTGTGCGTCCTTACTGTGCGTCCTTGTTGTACTTGTCCCCCGCCCTGCCCTGGCGGCTCGCGCCGCTGCAGGCCTGGGAGCGTGCTCCGCCCTCGGGCGCGGGGGCGTGCACTGCTCGGGTGTCTTGCTTGCCTTATGTCGGGCGTGTCCCCCTACAGGGGGATTTTCGACGAAAAATCAAAGATACCACAAAAATACCCCAAGAAGGTAAAAAGATAATCATAAAATAGTCCCCAGACTATGTTTGGACTATTTTTGATTATTTTTGGGGTGTTTTTTATTTTTCGTCGAAAATCCCCCTGTAGGGGGACAGGCCCGACTTGATGCTTGCTTGGCGTGCCTGCGGGCCTGGCTGTGGCTGCGGGCTTCGGGGGCCTCGGTCGGTGGCTCGGGCTTCGGAGGAGGGAGCCCTGCTCGGCTGCTGGCTCTGCGCGCGGATTTGTTGGATCCGCGCTGGGCCCCCCGTGGCGGCGCCGCGGGCGTCGCCCCTCTTTGCACGCTCCGCGCGCCAGGGAGGGGGGTCCGGCGCAGATCCGAAAGAAGTCCGAGCGGAGCGCCAAAGGTTTCTGTCTGTGATGTTTTTTTTTGTTGGTAGTAGCTCCCGACAGCTGCGCGACGAGCCTCGGGGCACTCCGCTGCGCGAGCAGGGCACGGCAGCAGGTCCCGCCCGCGCGCGTGGCCATCTCGGCGCGAGGGCGCCGCAGCCCGGGCGCGGCCTCGGGTCCTGGCTTTAGGTCGGGCCTGTCCCCCTGCAGGAGGAACTTCCAAATATTCAAATGGCGATATCGTTTAACCGATCCCCATCCCCATCCTCGGGCCGACCGAAGGGGGGGGATTGGGAAAGGGGGGGTTACGAAATCTGCTGCACGCAGCTGGTTTCGGCCCCATTGAGGGGCCCATTCCTCGATACAAGCCCGCCTCCTGCGCCGGGAGGCGCCGGGAAAATCAGCTACGTGAGCTGATGCTCAAACCCCCCTTTGCTATCCCCCCGCTTTCGCCCGGCCCGACAATTCCATCCCCTTCGAGAATCCCCATCAAGGGCGGTAAATCGGCCAGTCGGGCCCAGGCCACGCCGCGGGGGATGGGGATCGGTTAAACGATACTCAAAAAGATAGTCTGGGGACGATGTTTTGATTATTTGTTTGACCATTTTGGACTCTTTTGCGGGATTTTTTCTAACGAGTTTTCGTCCATCATGCGCCCGTAGAAGGAGACGCCCGACCTAATCCTGGCTGGTGGGCCACATGAGCCGCATTCAGAGGCAGAAGATATTCAACCCTGGGCAGGGGCCGATCCTGTTCACCAAGCAGAGGAGGCCCAAGGAGGCCCGCAGTCCGGTTATACACGGGTGGCAACACAATGGGCCCTGGTCGAGGTACAACAATTTCGCTTACTTCTGGTCGGAGATGCGCCCGATCAGGAAGACCGTTGTGAATCATGCGCAGCGGGTGGGGCAGGTCCGGGCGTTCGGGCAGTGCCTTGAGGACTCTCCTGGCGTGATCCAGGAGCTCTCGACCGAGGGTCCGTTCACGCTGTTCTGCCCCAACAACGAGGCCATGGAGCTCATCCCCGATGCCTCGTGGGAGAAGCTGTGGAGCGAGGAGAAGGCCATTCGAGGAAGAAACGGCTGCATAAACATAGTCTTTCGGAGCTCCGCGCGAACTTCTTGGATCGGCGCTGGACCTCCCTGGCAGCGCCTCCGGCACCGCCCTCCCCGGCGTGCCAGGGGGGGGGAGTCTTGCGCCGATCCAACAAGTCCGCGCGGACCTCCGAGATTTGTATGTTGTGCAGTTTTTTGTTGCTCTAGCCGTCTTCCTCAGGCATCACGCAGTGAAGGGGAAATGGAAGCTGGCCGACCTGGTAGCCACAGTCGACCGCCCGGACTCCGAGGTCGTCACCCTGGCTAACCAGCGCGTGTCCGTGGCGGTGCGCGGCAGCCTAGAGGCGATGAACCGTGAGGTTCGCCTCGGCGAGGCCCTCGTCACAAAGGCGAACATCCGCTGCTGGAACGGGCTGGTGCACATCATCGACCGCCCGCTGGTTCCGAGGTTTCGCTGACTCGCGCGCTTCGTGCCCCCCCCGGTTCGAAGAACGAGAGACTGCACAAACATAGCCTTTCGGAGCTCCGCGCGGATTTCTCGGATCCGCGTTGGTGCCTTTCTGGCGGCGCCTCAAGCGCCGCCCCCGGCGCACTCCGCGCGCCAGAGAGGCGGGTCCAGCGTCGATCTGAGAAATCAGCGAGGGACTCCGAAAGGGGAAGCTTATGCCATTATCTGTTCCTCGAACACCATCGACCGCCCGCTGGTCCCGAGGTTTCGCTGATTCGTGTGCGCTTCCGTGCTCCCCTGGTGCAGCAGCCTCCGCTCGGATCTGCTGCTCCTGGGTTTAGGCTCCCTCCGCCGTGCCCTTCGAAGCGCCTGGAGTCTTGCGCGAACTTGGAAGGCGTCCGTAGCCTTCGACAAACACCACCGTCGGCATCACCATCGCGGTTTATAAGGACCAGGGAGCATGGTAGGCGCCAGGTTTCGCGGTGGCGGTAGGCACGACCACTAGCATGGAAACCCCTTCTCCACCCGGTGCCCTCCCCTGCAGCCGCCAACTCCTCTCAGAGTGTCAGGTTGGCCAGAGTCTGCGGGTCTTCGTTTCTGGGACAAGCGGCGTCCACAGCATAGCGTTGCTCATGCTTGCTGGCGCTGGCCTATCTCAGGAGAGAGAATGCCTCAGGAGTCTTGGCTTCTGGACAAAGCGTAGATTTAGATCGGTTTCAATCGATACACGCATGTGCATGTATGTATGTCTGTGTTCATGCATGCAGTCATACACCGGTACACACGTGGACTTACATGGCTGTACCGGTACAGTTTCTTTTTACATACACGCATATACACACTCCTGTACGCATACACATGTGCATGAACGTGTACACGCACATACTGTGCCAGTGTGACTACGTATTCATACACATACATAATAAGGTTAAGAACCAGAAGACTAGCTAAAACGACACGAACATACACCACAGTTGTGAGGGTCCTGGGAGGTGTGCTTCCCTTGGCCATCTGGCTTCTGTGGGCGTCGCCGCATGTGGCCTCAGACCCACTGCGGCAGACCCCGCGTGCGGACCGTGTCCCATACGGAGATCAGCACGCCTCTGCGCGCATGCTCCGCAGCCCCTTGCAGTCGAAGCTGCTTAGTAGGTCGGCCCTGCCAGGACACCCCTGCGTCCTGTGCTTCGCGACCCCTGCCTTCTTTGATTCCTGCTGCAGTGTGGCCCCCGGAAGGGTCTCCCGCGCGTGTCCCCTCTCCAGTCAACCCCGACTGTGCCCGCACTGCCCCGAGCTCCACCACTCCCACGCCGCGCGGCAGATGAGGAGAGTGCCCTGCCCTGAGCCGCACGCGCGCGCGTCGGGTTGGGCTCTTCCTGCCCCACGCTGTGCGCTTCTCGGCTCCCAGGCGGGAAGAGAGCTCTCGTGTCGCCCCGTTGGAACTCAGAGGCACGGGAAGGTGTCTGCAGCTGCGCGCTTGGCAGCATCCAGGGAGGGCTACTCCGCGGGACCTCCAGGGGCGCAGCAACGTGGCAGCGGTTCAGCGCGTGGCATCACCCAGGGAGGGCGGGGCCGCGTCTGGAGATCTGCGCGTCGCGCCGCTCGCCTGGCCCGCCGAGGGGGGGTAGGGCAGCTGGGGCGGTCTTGCGGACTCCCAAGGAGGAGGAGGCGCAGCAGGAGGAGGAGGGGCAGGAGGAGGAGGAGGAGGAGGAGGAGGAGAAGGAGGAGTGTTTCCTTTGGATTGGTCCTCACGCGAATCTGTCATCGTCCTGGCTTCGTCTTCCGAGCAGCCACTGGCAGGGCCGCCGTTGTCTCGACCTGGAGCCCGCCTGGCGAAGGCGCCGCCCCCGAGACGGAGAGGGCGCCGTCTTGGGGCCCCGCCGGGGCCCTGCGAGGGGCCCTCGGCCCGTCCTTCGGTACGGCACGAACCCTCCGTGGAGGAGTGGGAGGGCACGACACCGGATAAACATTATTATGGTGCTCCGATGCCACCCTCGCTCTGGCGAGAGATGGGCACGGAAAGAATGGGTACGATGCCCAACAGCATTTCTTGTTCATTTTGAACAGGACGCGCTGTGCGCGCCGCCGCGGCCTGTGTCAATTCGAGGCAGAAGGCCGCCTGCCCAACAGCGGCCGCTGTTGGTTTGGGACAACATTTGTTGTTGGGCATTGTGCCCATTCTTTCGGTACCCATTTCGGGTGTCCAAATCGGTGTCTTCATTCTCCAAGTTGGCCCTGCCAGGGGGGTTGATCCTGGCTCTCTTTTTGGGGCTCAGTGGGGCCCGTGCTGCCTCCGCATCCTTTTCCCGCTGCCCTGTCCCTCTCCTTCTCTTCGGCTTCTCTCCCCCTCCCCCTCCCAAGCCTTTCCCTATTTGTTGTTTCGTGATGTTCTCTGGAAGCTGCAGGAGGCGTTAAATGCTGCTGCAGGTGCCGCCGCTTCTGAGCAGCGGCTCCACAGGACAAATTCAGGCAGCACCAAATCACCAGCTCTGAATACAGTCAACCCTCATAGTAAAGATGAGCAACTTTCCAAGGTTGACCTTCCATCCTTGCCCCCTCGGCCCCTCCCCGGCCGCTTTCTCGCCGGCCGCGCCCCCGCTCGCAGAGTGTCGCCATGGCCCTGCAAGGCCCTTGCATCCTTATCGGGCGTCCTGATTGCACCTCCTCGTCCGTCTCAGCAGAACAAGGGCCCCATGGTCCCAGCTTGGGGCCTGGCGCTCGGCAGGCCTCGCGAAGACGACGGAGAGCCAGCACCCAAGAGCCCCCGCAAGTCCGCTCAGCTCGACAAGCTCAAGAAGGACACGCAGAAGATCATGGAGATCACCAAGCTCGGCCCCTTCAAGTCGCTGATGCGCGTCCTGACCCGACTGTGCATCGCCAACTCGCGCGACGTAGCCGACCTGATTGGCGCCTCGTTCAGTTGTTTTCTGCTTCCCGCTGCACATTTCATCGTGATTGCGCTGCAAGAGGCGGGAAAGCTCTACTCGCTCACGTGCAAGGAGAAGGGCAAGGAGCACGGCCTGGGGTCGCCCTGGCCCCACATGTGGATGGCGCTGGTCAGGGCGCTCTTGGCTCACGCGAACACCCCCGCCAAGAGCAGAGCAGCTATGCAGGTCAACTGGGACGGGAACATCAACACTCCCGAGTCGAACTTGCAGGTGCTGCAGGATCAGGTGAGATACTGCAGAATGCGGCCGACGTATTACAATCGCAAGAAGAAAGAGCAGCCGAAGTTCTTCAAACTCCAGTACATGCTGTCGTCCGAACTTCAAACATCGACGATCGCCTGGGACGGGGAGAACGTCGGCACGGTGCACAAAGCCCTGTTCCACAGCCTGGTCTCGCACGGGGGCCAGTTCAAGCCTGGAGGCCCCCCCAGGGGGGGACTCGAGCGCGAAGCGGAGCGCCTGCTGGGGAAGCTCGGGATGCGAGGACGAGCAGCTCAGCGAGGACGAGCTCAGCGAGGGCTAGCTACCTTGGCCTATTACAGCATGCTGGCTTATCCAATCTGCAGAATGGGTGCTCAGAACCGATTCTATGCTACCAGACGCCCACTGGACAGGAGTTCAGAGTCTTCTACGCAGATGAGTTGCAGCACGCGATTTCTTTGGTGGATTTGGCTCGGCGGGCCTCGAACGTTCGATCTATGAGAATGCGAGTTGACCCACAGGTTGCCATAGTCTCTTCTGATGACCAGGCTCACCGCCAACTTGTGAGCACGCGTGCAAACCATGAGTTGTATCACTCGGGCGATGATGACAGGACCTCCAATCCCCAGCCGTAAGGCAGGACTGGGTGGCCTTCGGGCGCGGATGTCATTTTCTGTTCTGAGCCCGTCTCTGTTGCCCTGTCAGTCCAGTTGTCTTGCGCTCAGGATTTTCATATTGTGCAACGTGTGTGTGCATGTTGCTTCATCGGTTGTGCACTTCACATTTCCACATCATGATGCAGGCAAGCGACCTCTCGACTCGCTTGCTTATCCGTTCAGCTGTGGTGCGGTGCTTAGCCGAGGCCTCCAGGTTTCTCCCGAAAGGAGGTTCTCGGATTGAGCCAGTGGTGCCCCCCAGCAGAGCGATCTAGACAGACGCTCACAGAAGCGTACACAGATCCAGAATAGGCCGACTGCAACTTCCAGGCGTCGATTCTCTTTTTGCATTGCCATGTGTAGCAGTTCAGTGGATCGTAAGTGTGTCTTGTCTTGTCTTGTCCTCGTCCTCCTCCTCCTCCTCCTCCTCCTCCTCCTCCTCCTCCTCCTCCCCTTCCCCCTCCTCCTCCTCCTCCTCCTCCTCCTCCTCCTCCTCCCGAATCCTCGCCTTTCCCGCGGCCGCCAGGGCTCCAAGCCACCGCCCCGATCTGGCCGCAGCTCCGTAGTTTGGCCTCCGGCCGCCTGCCCCGCGCCGCCACATGGCGCCCAAGTTCGACCCCAACGAGGTCAAGATCGTGAAGCTCCGGCAGTACGGCGGCGAGCAGGCGCCGTCGTCCGTGCTCGCGCCGAAGGCGCGTCGGGGCACGGTTGGCGGGCTCGTCTCCTGCCGCCACCACCATAAGTAGGAGGGGGGGTCCTTCTCCTCTTCTTTCTCCTCATTCTCCTCCTCTCTCTCCTCCTCATCCTGCACCTTCTTCCCCCCTCCAACTTCTGGTGGTGGTGGTGGTGGAAAACAGGCCCATCAACGGTCGGACCGAGGCATCCGATCGAGGTCGGCTGCTCGGGGAAGGTGCCTTGATGTTTTTCGTGTTTCTTGAATGCTCTTGTTCATCCTGTGGCCTGGGGGAGGGCACACCCGGTGCTCTTCAGTTTTGCCGGCGGAGGTTTTCATTTTTTGAATGACGTTCTTCTGTCCTATAAGTTTGGCCGCAGGAGAAGGCACGCTCTGAGAAGGCCATGGCGCCCGACACATTCTCGAAATCTGCCAGTTCTCAGGGATTCTCGACCTATCCTAGTCTCGGCGGCTTCGTCTTCTCTTCCTTGTCTCCTCTTCCCTGGCATCATCTCGTTGCGGACAAAATCGCGACCGAAGGTTTTTACAGATTTTCGGCCCCCAGGGGCCCTCACCGGGCTCCGGGACCAAGTCATCCTGGCGAGGGGCCCAGCCGTGTGCGTTATGAGGCCACGAAGCGTGTGAGGGGGGCGCCAAAATGGGGGCGGAACTGCATGCGAAACGCTTCGTGGCTCGCCCTCACAGGTTCGCACGCGGTTCCGCAGGTTCCGCAGGTTCGCAGGTTCGCAGGTTCGCGGTTCCGCGGTTCCGCAGGTTCCGCCTGCGAAATAGGGGCGGAACCGCGGTGCGAAACCTTTTGGGGGCTTGCGCGGCCTTCGGTGGAACGCCCAAAAGGGCCATGCAACGTGCGAGCTGGTGTGCCGAAAGTGTTGGTGGAGCCGCGTGCGAGCCCTGTTGCTGGAGCCTTCGGCGGAGCCCCCTTCTGGGGCCACGAAGCGTGTGAGGGGTGCGTCGGGACAGGGACGCGTGGAGGGCAGAGGCAGGCATGGGGGTAGGAAGGAGGAGAGGTGAGCAAGGAGGAAGGAGACGCGGGACGCTTTCTCTTGAAAACGAGGACCCAACACGACAGGATGGTTGGGGAACAAACGATTCAGGATGAAGCAACTGTTTTGCGTAGGAAGCCAACAAGATCCCTGGGGAGCCGAGCTGTGAAACAAATAACAAGGCGGAGGATGTCTGGGTTCCCTGTCCAGTGCAACCTGCCCCTTTCCTCTCTGTCTTCCTGTCTCTCATGCTTCTCCACTTACTCCTCCTCGTCGTCCTCCTCCTCCTCCTCCTCCTCGTCCTCCTCGTCTTCCTCCTTCTCCTCCTCTTCGTCCTCGTCCTCGTTCTCACTGCTCCCTCCTTCTGCCCCTGCATTCCCTCTTCCCTCCTCCTCCTCCTCCTCCTCGCCCTCCTCCTCCTTCGCCTTCTTTCCCATCGCCGCTCCCCTCCATTTCGTCCCTCTTCCTGGCCCGAGCTCTCTCTTTATTGCTGCCCAAGGTGGGACCCCTGGGGATGTCTCCCAAGAAGATTGGGGACGACATCGTGAAGGGCACCTCGCAGTGGAAGGGCATCCGCGTGACGGTCAGGCTGACGATCCAGAACCGCGCGGCGAAGGTCGACGTGGAGCCGAACGCCACGAGCCTCATCATCAAGAGCCTGAAGGAGCCTTTGCGCGACCGCAAGAAGACCAAGAACATCAAGCACTCCGGGAACCTGACCAAGCAGCAGCTGTTCGACATCGTGAGGCAGATGAGGGAGAAGAGCCAGGCCAAGGAGTTCGCCGGCACCGTCAAGGATCAGGAAGGGAGAAATACACCGGCACAAACAAACGTCGGTGCTGAGGGAAATGTTGGGGGAATGTGGGAAGCAGACGGCAAGAAGAGAATCCATCATAAGTTGACGGAAACCGTGAACTTGTGTCTGTTTTGTGTGTCCCCATGGGCCCCATTTGGAGGAGGTGCTCGGCAGCTGCAGGGCCGTGGGCTGCACGGTGGATGGCACGGCGCCCGCCACGCTGACGCAGATGGTCGACGACGGCGAGTTCGAGCTGCCGGAGAAGTGAGCGCGGGAGGCAGTCCGGGCGTTGTTTCAAGGGGGGCGACAGCAGTGTTGGGGGCGAAGCATGATGGGCCCGTTTTTCACCCCCCCTGCCATATGCAGGGAGAGAGGAGGAGGAGGAGGAGGAGGAGGAGGAGGAGGAGGAGGAGGAGGAGGAGGAGGAGGAGGAGGAGGAGGAGGAGGAGGAGGAGGAGGAGGAGGACCTCCTCATCCTCCCTTCTCCCCCGTCCTACATATGGTAGTGGTGGTGGAAAGTGTGCCCATCGAAGAGAAGTGCACCTCTTGGGCCCGAAAGGGGCCCTCCAGGGGTCCCTCTCGGGCCCAGAAGGGGCACGAAGGGTGGACGTTTGTCGCCCCCCCCCCCCCACGTACGGTTGAGTCGGGCCTGTCCTTCCACAAGAGGAATATTCCCAAATAGTCCAAACAACTCGTGGGACGATTTGTTGTTTGGTTGTCTTCTTTTTTATCACTTTGGGGTATTTTTTTTATTATTTCTCATTGTTAGTCCAAAATCCCCCAGTAGGAGGACAGGCCCGAATTAAGGGAGGACGTTTGTCGCCCCCCCCCCCACGTACGGTAGGTTTGCGTCGTGTTGGCGGCGACCCCGCCGCGGGCGTACAAGGTTGAACGCCGCCAGTTGCCCAGCATCGGTCAGTATGGAACGATTTGGCGATCGAATGCCCTCCGATCGCTCAAGGTTGAACGATCCACGGGATGTCAGAAACCAATGCCAGGCTAGCCACGACACGAATCTGCCGTATCGGCCCCCCAGATGGGATGCCGGAGAAGTGAGCGCAGGAGTCGAGGTTCCCCAGATGGGATCGGAGTACAGTCGGACCGAGGTACAAGATCGAGGTTGGTTCGGGGAGGGTGCCCTATTGTTTTTCGTGCTTGTTGAATGTTCTTGCGCATCCTGGGGAGGGTACCCTTGGATGTTCTGCCTGTTTTGGCCGACCGAGGGTCTGATGTTCTTGAAGGATGTTATTCTGGCCTAGGTCTGTAGATAGGGTCGGATGATCGCGCCATATCGCCGATGCATCGCCGATGCGGAGCCCGATTTTCTCCACGACGACGGTGCCGATGCTTCGGCAGTGCATTGGCGATGCGGCGCGATCCTCCGACCGTCCAGCTCGGACCCTATCTAGGAGGCCTCCAGGGAAGCAGGAGGCGTGCCGCGAATCCAGCCATCCGGGCGATCCATGGGGGGGCGTGCGCAGAAAGATGCCCTCACACTCGGCGCAGGCGCCCCGCCTCCGACGCCACAGAGGGTTTCTCAGATGGCCAGAGGGCGTCTGAGAAGCCCCGGCCGCCTTCTGAGAGGGCCCGCCCAGCGCGCCGCTGAACCCCCCGCCCCTCTCGCCTCCGCCTCCGCCTCCCCCTGCCCTCGCTTTAAGTCGGGCCTGTCCATCTACAGGAGAATATCCAAAAATAGTAAAAAAACAGTCTGGGGATTTTTGTTTGAGCATTTTTTGACCATTTTTGAATGAATTTTTGTTGGGTATGTTTTATTTTTCGTCGGAAATCCCCCTGTAGGGGGACACGCCCGACTTAACCCCTGCTGCAAGAGCCTTGCGGGAGCCGGGAGAGGAGCACGCAGGGGCCTCCTCCTGCGGGCACGGCGGAGGTCCGCCAGAACAGTTGGCGAGGATGTTCGGGTGGGGTTCTGGGGCCGACTTCGAGGCGGCCCTGCCCCAGGCGGGCAGAGCGAGCCTGAGCCACGCGCCTGGCTTCCTCCTCGCTGTCCGCCGCCTGGGCAGCGCTGCTGGACGGAGGAGCGCGCCTTCGGCCATCTCGCTCCTTCGGGCCACGCTGGAAGCAATCGGCCGAAGACGGCGGATTCCTGAAGTGGAGCCCCATCCTGTGGAATCGGAGTGCGTTCCGGGAGCCTCGGGACCACCTGGATGTGATTCTGGGGACCTCTGAGGCCCACTCGGGGCCCGCACAGACCCTCTTTGGGCCTGCGGCCATCGCGGGGCCACCTTGCGGCCGCAGAGGCCCGGCGGAAGCCAGAAGATGGGACGGCGAAGCTGATTGACCATCCAAGTGTTCGGGGGTCGACTCAGACCTCAGGCCTCGATCCTCAACCCTCGACCCTCGACCCTCCATCCTTGTTCCTTCTCCTCCTCCTCCTCCTCCTCCTCCTCCTCCTGCTCCTCCTCCTCCCTCCTCCTGCTCGATCCTCGATCCTTGACCGTAGGTTGCCCCGTCTGGCCCCTGTGCGTGCGGAGACCCTCTGCCGGCGCTGGCCGCCCACCCTGCGCCTCGGCCGGCTCGCTCTTGCTTGGCGTTCGAGCCCACCGGCCGCTAAGGCCTTGAGCATCCTGCTTACCAGTCTCGAACGTATCCCTATCCCTGAGATTGACACGCCAGAAGGCGATGACAATCTTACGGATTCGCCCTCAAAAAATAAGGGAATCCCTAAGATTGGCATCGTGATGAGGAGGTGCCCAGCATAGGGATAGGGATATGTTCCAGGCTGGTATGCTGAGGCCTTGAGCATCCTGGTGCCGTTTCGGCCCGCGAGGCCTTCGTGGGGCCGAACATCTTGCTCGGCCAACTCTTTGGCCATCTCGCGCCACCTCTGGGGCCAAAGGTGTGAGACCGTTGGACTTCCTGGAGCCATCTTGGGGCATCTTGGGCGTTCCAAGTCCTCGCGGCCCCCCTCGGCTCGGTGCAGAGCCCTGAGGAGGGGACAAGGGGGGAGGAATGAAGCGCCTCCCCGAATGGGAAGAGCGGGGCTACTTCAGAAGAGGTGACGTTTTATGCCACCTACGTTCAGAGCGCTCGGGGAGTCTTCGCAGCCACGTGCTCCACCAGCTCCAGCCAGCCGCGGTGAGACTGCGCCCGGCGGTGTCCGGCAGATGCTGCGATCTCCCTTTGTGCTGTCGGTCCCCGCCCGCTGATCTCGCCCGCCCACCAAACCACCCCAACCCAACCCGAAGGCCTCAAATTGACTTTCATTTCCAGTGTGGGGGGGGGGGGTCGGGGAACATCGAGAAAACACATACGGAACCCGCACCCCCCCCAACCCGAAATTGGGGTCTTCGGGTGGGGTTGGGGTGGTCTGGTAGGCAGTCACGACCTCGCCCGCCCTCGCCGTGGCCAGAGGCCGCCGGCCCGCCGGCAGCTCCAGCCGGCTGCGGCGAGGCTGCTCCTGGCGATGTCTGGCACGTGCTGCGACGACCCAGCCACGCGCAGAGGGTGGTGGGGGGAGGGGGGAGGGCTCCTCAGAAGCACCCCTGCTTCTGAGAAGCCCCCCCCCTCCCCCCACCCCCGACGGCGCCGACGACGCCGACGCGGGGCGCGCAGCGCGGGCGCGGAGCCGCGCTGGAGCCCCACGCGGCGGGGGTGCCTCCGAGGCGGGCGGGCGCGTCGGCGAGGCCCCCCGGGCGTGGCCGCGCGGGGCACCGCCCTCGCCGTGGCCACGGGGCCGCCGGCGCGAGCCCGCGGGGGCCCCGAGCACGGGTGCCCGCCCCCCCGCGGGGGCTCCCGCATCGCGCGGGGGGCATCGCGTGGAGCGGGTGGCCCGGCCGCCGCCCCACGGGGGCCACGGCCGCCTTTGGGGTTCCCTGGGGGCTTCTTGTTTTATGTTGGGCCTGTCCCCCTACAGGGGGATCTTCGAGGAAAAAAAAGGAATACCCCCAAAATAACCAAGACTGCAACAAAAATACTAAACAAATAGTCCCCCGACTATTTTTTTTTCCGTAGACAATCCCCCTGTAGGGGGACAGGCCCGACTTACGGCTTGTTCTGTGCGCCCACCGCGGGTTTTTCTGGATGCCTCCATCCCACATCCACTTCGAGCGCGCTCCTACTTCGAGCATCGGCAGGCTTTTGCGGTGCCTTGTCATATTTCCGGGAGGGCCTGAACCCAATCTTCTATATATCCCCGCCTTCTTGCTTCATGTTTTTACCTACTTCTGCCGACCGACGTGCAGCTGTGCGAGGAAGTAGCGTGCACCGTTAGCAGCTGGAGTGAATACTGACAACTGAAACTCCGAGGAAGGCGACGGCTCCTGCCAGTGGACCCCAGTAGCTCATGGGCCATGAGTCATGGCTCTGGCGCGCGCCCAGCTCGACACAACATTCGGCGACTCTGCCAGGCCTGAAAGCAAGCTATCTGGGTGCAGCTTGCTCTTTCAGACGAATTCTCTCGGCGAGGGCAGCCATCCTGGTGTTATAGGACGGGGTGCCCTTGGACGACGAAGCTCGGGAAACACTGGTGGGCGGCCGCCGCGGCCAAGCACCCCTGTTCCAGCTACCCCAGCTGGTTTCGCCTCCTGGAGGGGGCGGGCTGGTGCGTTGGGAGAACGATTGTCATACTTCGCCCTCTACAGGAGGGATATTCAAGAAGCGTTAAAAGATAGTCAGGTGACGATTGTTCGATTTTTTTGGGTGGGGGAGTGGGGGGTGGGGGGTGGGGGGTATTTCTACATACATATATATATATATAAATCTAAAAGTATAGGTGTGTATATATATATATGTATGTGTACACACATATTTTTCACATACATATATATATATATAGATATCGATATAGATGTTTCTTCCAACATCCGCCTGTAGGAGGACATGCTCGACCTAACGACAGTTGGCCTTCAGGGGCCCCTCGTCGCCACGGCTGGACGCAGCCCGGAGAGCTGATGCGTTCTGGACCCCAGGCGGGGCCCCGGGACCGACCTCGACCTGCAGTCAGCTCCACTCGCCCTGCTCCGACACGGTCCCGGCCCGCGTGGTACCGTGTCCGTTGCACCGTCAGGGGGCGGTTGGACCCCAGGAGGGGCCCCGGGACCGACCTCGACCTGCAGTTCGCTCCACTCGCCTTGCTCCGACACGGCCCCGGCCCGTGCGGTGCCGTGTCCGTTGGGGGTGGGGTCAGGGGCACCGGGGCGGCAAAGAGGGGGGTGATGACTAGGGGGGGGTGGACATCATGGCGAGGGCCATGATGTCTCCCCGGATCTCCTGGCGCCTCTTCTTGTTTCATCACGTCCCTGGCCCCCCCGCTGGGTCGCGCACATGCCGCCGGTCAGGATTTGCACCCCCCCTTCTTGGACACCCCCCTCTTGGCCGCTCCCGACGTTGGGGGGGGGTCAGGGGCACCGCCAGGGGGCGGTTGGCTCGTTGGCTTAGCGCATCTGCCCCCCGGAAGGCCCACGGATCGCCGACGGGGGGCCGGAGAGCCCGACCCGCCCAGGCACGTGCGGATTCGCCATCGGGGCCTACGCCGACCTGCTGGCGATGCTTTCCGCCGACTCTGGCTCGGTGTTCCCCCCCCCCCCCCCCAGAGGCGGTATCGCCCGGAATAGCGTGGCCCCTCGGGGGGGGGGGTCTGCTGGAGGCTGGCCGCGGGGCCCCGCACGGCTGGCCCCGTGCTCGCGCAGGTCCAGGGGGGCGGGTGGCCACGGGGTCCCGCCCTCGGCGATCCACTGCTCGGGCTGGTGGCCACGGCGCCCCCGTTCCCCCAGGCTGCCGTCGAGGGCCCCCCGCGCTCGCGGTCCCGCACATTGCCGAAGGGTGCCAGCTGTGCTGTCAAGGCGCACAGCGAGGAGGAGAGCAGCTTTGCACGGCTATACCCTTGCATCCTCGCCCCTTCGGCCCATCCTCGGCGGTTTTCGCTGGTAGGGGGCCACATGCGAACCCTACCCCTACCCCCCACGATTTCTGAGGGGGAGGGTGGGGTAGGGTTCGCATGTGCCCCCCCCCCCCAGCTGGCCAGCCCCGCTCGAGAACGCCGGCAGGACCCCCCGAGGCCCCTGCAGCCGTGCCGCGCCTCGTGCTGTCTACTGCCAGGCGAGGAGGGCGTGCGCACAGACCCGGGGCCGGGGATGTGCCAGCCCCGCTCGAGAACGCCAGCAGGACCCGCCCCCCGCAGCCGTGCCGCGCCTCGTGCTGCCTACTGCCGGGCGAGGCGGGCGTGCGCACAGACCCCGCGGGGCATGGGATCCCGCGGGGCAGGGGATGTGCCCGGCCGGGGCCGCGGGTGCACCGTGGGCGCTGCGCTCTTCCAGCACGGGGTCCAGGCCTCGGTTCGGGCCGGGCGAAAGGGGGGGATTGGGAAAGGGGGGGTACGAGATTTGCTGCATGCAGCTGGTTTCGGCCTCGCCGAGGGGCCAATTCCTCAATACATGGCCGCCTCCGGCGCCGGGAGGCGCCGGGAAAATCAGCTACGTGAGCTGATTCTCACCCCCCCCCTTTGCTATCCCCCCCTTTCGCCCGACCCGATCGGTTGCCCGCGTGGCCTCCCTCCAGAGTTCGAGCAGGATGTCGACTACAGAAGCGAGGTAATTATCACGAAGTGCTTGCTTCGTCAAATCTGCGACAAATGCGTACGTGTAATTTTCGTAGGTCTACGAAGCTTAGACGTATGTCCACAGATGTTCGACGACGATCAATGCCGGGGTAAATCAATTGTGTAGTCGATCTTTGGGGTCCACGCGCCAGCATGTCATGCAGCCTCCGTTTGCTGCCGATTTCTGCCTGCCGATCTCGCCTCTCCTCGCTGCGCCCTTCTTTCGTGTCTTCTCTCTCCTGATCACCCTCTGGCAGGTGCTACCATTCTGCGACTTGCTAACGCCTGTGTTGGCCCAAGCAATGGCTCCGCTGGTTTTCTGAACGGTGCTGGAGTTTGGAGCGATGGCGGCCGCTGGAGATCGACGGAGGTCTCGGGCGAGCGCGCGCTTGAGCAGTCCTCCCGCTTGTCAGTGCCATGTATGCCGCTTCCGAACACGAAAGTCAGAAGGATCTGCCGAGCATGCAATCATGACCACCGCCACCATGGAAGGACGATGTGGGATACGAGACATGAGGCAGGACGGGAAAGAGGAAGGGGGCGAATCAACCATCACTACATGAAAGTGGATGAGGGGTGATGTCCAGCTGCCTGCTGCGAACCCCGCGACCGTGCCAGCGCATCTTCGCTGCAGGAATGATGGTCAGTTTGAGCCCCGTTCCAGTTCAGTGCTCTGTTTGAACTGGCGCGGGTCTTGCGCGCCCTCTTCCCCTTGTCTTTCGTCCTCCATCCTCACACTTTTCCTCCTCATCCTTGCTCCTCCCTCCTTTCTATTGGAGGCTTTTCTGGAGGCTTCCTGGGGGGCTTCCTAGACGTCTTTTGGTGACTCCTGGGCCCTTGGGGCCTTCTTGGGGTTCATTCGGGGCCCGTTGGGGGCCCCGTCTTGGGCGCCATTCGGTTGGGCCTTTCCGAGAAGACTCGGCTGAAGCAATGGGCACGACTGAGTCGGTTTTGGGGCCGTCTTGGAGCCTATTTGTGCTATCTCGGGGGGTTTCTTGGCAGCCCTGAGCCTGGTTTTTTGCGCTCTTGGGGCAGTCTTGGGCTGTCTGGGTGCCTTCTCGGGGCTCTCTGAAGCTTCCCCGAGGCAGTCTGAAGCCGAAAGAGTGTCGGAAGCGAGTGTCGCTAGCGCTTTTGACTGCCTTTTTCAGGCCCGTTGCTGTTTCTGGTTGTTTGTTTTGTGTGTGTGTGTGTGTGCGTGTGTGCGTTATTTTTCCCTGTTTGCGTTTTTTGCTTCTATGTCAAAACCGCTCCTTGTTTTCACTTGCTATCCAGTTCCGGCCGCCTCCTGTTCGTCCCGCTCCGCGCGCAGAGCAAACAACGCCTCCACGACGCCCCAACACTGGTCTAACACCGGCGCGGCACAGGCCTGGCGACCCCGCGACCAGCCAGCAGCGACAACCAGAGAAGAATACAGTGATTATCAGAGTGAGGGGGCCCGAACGGTCATTCACTGTCCCTGGGTGCGTGGCTGAAGTGAGGATCCGTGGCGCGGATTCTGCTTCGTCTTGTTGTTGTTGTCGTCGTCCCACCCAAGAGCGACTCCG